TCAAACTCAGGTGCAACTAACTCTAATATCTGTGGCTCTTCACCAGCACAGCCTCTCCTAGGAACATGGAGTGAGCCTTGGCTGGGGCACCAGTGGAATGAGACAAGGGTACACAATTGAGTTGTACAGGAAGTTACAAAGCTACAATCCCTGCTACCTCAGCCCTGACTCGTTAGGTAGAGACTCGTTAGGTAGAGACTCGTTAGGTACTAGTTCCATACCTTGTTCAAGAACAAAGTGAAGCAAGAGTTCACTATGACCAAGTAATGCAGAGCCATGCCTGATTTGGGACCCAGGTGGGATCTGGATCAATTGGGGGAAGTTAAATACGGACCCTCCCCCACCTCTGCTTGGGGTTTCAGGTTCTTTTCCAATTCAATATATTTAGAGACTGGTTTTCTTAGTCTTTATGAAGGTATTTATCTTGTGTATTTCAAGAACAAATATGTTTGGCCCAGACGAACCCCTTCAGAGAGTTGGGAAAATTCCACTTCTGGACAATTTTATTTTTTTGCTCAATTCTTTAATATCTTTGCTGACTCTTGGTATTTCAATTTAATATTAAAACCATCAATTTGCCTCAGGAGATTAAGTCATAATCAAAGAAAAAGGAAGCAGGATTTATTTTATTTATACTCTTGGTCTTTCAGACATTGGTGAAATGAAATGCAGAGAATTGCTGTAATAAAGCAGAATCCAGGAGAAGATGCATTCACTACATAGCACCTATGAGGGTGTGGGGGCACTGGGCAGCTGGGCAGTAGACCACGTGGCTACAGACTTGGAAGAAGTGGCCAAGGAAAGAGCTACCATTTGTCACCATTCCCTGAGGGAAAACTCACCATGACCTCAAGCAGGTGAAGAAGAGCAAGGAGCATTTGTGAGCAGAAAAGCCACAGTAGAGTAATTTTATGCTTGATTGGCATGTATATGGATGGCATTGTAAAATGTACCTTCTTATCAGGGCATCGGGTCTGCTCCCATTCAGCTAGAAAACAAAGAGCCATTTTGGCAATGGAACTTGTATTACTTAGAGTCCCAGTGTAGGTGATGCGGATCAGTGGAGCAGCTCTATTCTTTGACCTTGAAAATTCTCCCACTGTGTCGTCAAAGCTGGGTTGCCACCAGTCTGTGCTCCAGTACAATGTTTGAAAGCTTAGGTCTGGAAATGGCAAACATCACTTCCCTCGAGGGACATGATAATTTCTTCATGGTTCTCCTCTCTGCCTCATGTCTTGTGTCAGCCAGGTTGACATCTGTCTGATACATGGGCTTGGAGTTCTTGACCTTTTCATGGACAGGGTTTTTCATCTCTTCACTCTGACTGCCCACTGGCTCTGTCTGCAACCTCAGCACAAGCTTCCTGAAGGCAAGGCTGTGTTTAATTCATTTTAAGTTCTGAGACCTAGGACAGCATTTGACTCTTAGAAAAAATGTTTGAGTGAATGGATAAAGAAAGGAATATGTAAAAGGTAAATGCCTAGTCCACATTCAAAGTACCGGAGAAATATACTAGCTTAATAATTCAGAGAGACTGCATTAACCAAGTCGCAAAGCTTTTAACTCTTGTTTACTGTAATTATTGGTGCAAGTATCTTAGGTGGAGAATGCTGGTATTATTAATAACCTTAGAGATTTTATTTGATTGAATGAAAGATTGCTGTAGTGGATTCATAACTGATAATGTTAAATCTTTGTATGGTACTATTATAAAAAAATTCCTCATAATTATGGAGAGGCAAAAGTAGGGACTGATTTGAAATGTGATGAGAAGTAATTATTGAAAATTTCATGATGGCAGTCCTCTGGGTTCCTTTCTGTGATCTGAGATTGAAAATTGGTAATCAAGTTAAATATAAACAAATAAACAAACATTGTCACCACTCCTCCCCCCAAACATAGACCGAAGGACTGTTTTCCTTCTGTTAAAGCTTAATCAGTCAAAGACCATCAGAGAGAAGCCTGTAGTCCAACAGAATCAGATGTATAGACTTGATGCAGTGAGGGAAGCATGCTGGAGGAGCTTTGAACTGCTCAGTAAGAGAGAGGAGATTTGTAAGTCGAGGCTCTTGTCCACGGAACTGAGGAGGGTCCAGAGGAAGTGGGGATTGGTTTTGTATTGATTGCAGTTTCCGAAGCAGAATTAGGAGAAGTGGGAACTAACTCGGGATTGAGTACCATCATGAGCAAGAATGGCTCAGCATTTGGGAATCCCTAGTAAAAGATGAGTATAGTAAAGAAGGTCTAGGGGCGTCATTGGTAAGAAAGTAGTGGTCATTCAAAGTGGCCATTGTTATGGCATTTTGTAGCTGCAGCCAGACCTTGAGAGAAAGGCTGTTCTCTGTGGACTTTGCAGTTGGCTTTATCTGAGTCTGTCCTCCCAGCCTGGTGAATAGCAGTGCTGCAGTTACTCTTTTCAGTCCAAGCCGATTTTCACTCTTTTGATCCTGGATAAGTTTTAGCTCTTTCAGTTAACTGGATTTAGCCAAAGTTTAGATATTCCTTTTTAAATCTCCCTAAAGCCAAATGTCCAAATTTCCCTCTGCCACTACAACCAACGACCATACACAAGAGTAAGGTCCTGGAAAGCCTCAGGTGGCATGTTCAGGATAACTGCAAAATGATTAATTAAAACAATAGGAACCAAACAAAATGCAGGCTAAAATCAGAGCTGACTTGTTTCCAGCAAAAGTGGAGTGAACATCTGCTTGCCATAGCATGACCAGCTTCATATGACTGGTGTTAGGGAACAGCTGTCTCTAATAAGGTCCTAAAGCATTTACTAAAAGTACTTATTAGCTTATTATCTCTCATTGCTTAAAAAAAAGAAAAACAACAACAACAGAGAAACCACCTAGAACCTGGATGCGTTAAGACCCCGGTTATTTATTATAGCTGATGAAAAACAGCTCTTATATTCCAGTGGTTCTCAAACTTAATGTGCTTCAGAAACACCTGTAGGGCTTGCTGAAACCCAAGTTGCAGTACCCCATTCCTAGAGATTCTGATTCCATTGGTCTGGGGTGGAGCCTGAGAATTCACATTGTAGCAAGTCCCCAGGTGATACTGATGATGCTGGTGTAAGATCACATTTTGAGAACCACTGCACTAACTCAAATCTTTCTCGGTGTCTCCACTTTCCACATTTTTGCACATTCCGTTCCTCCTGATTGAAATGCTTTCCCTGCTCTCCATCCAATTGGTTGCTTGTTTTAGTTTAAGTTCTATCTCCTTGCTTGGCCATTGCATTAGCTATCTATTGCTGTGTAACAAATCATCCCAGATAGGACCTCCCGAATGGTGGCGTGAGGTATTCAAGGAAGCCATTCCTCAAAAGAGATACCTGTTAAGCTGGTCAAATTAATAAAGACAATCGCTCAAAACTCTGGAGATTTGTTTACAACAAATTGAGAAACATTAATTCAATAATATCTATGGTGTCTGAGTAGGAAGAGTGGAAATTCGTGGTATTCAAGCTAAGGACTGCATCCATCTCCCCATAGCTCTGTCTTACAGAAGAACTGTTCCAGTGAGCTTGAGAATCAAATGGCACTTCACATCTCTCCACCCTCCTCTCTGGGTTGGAACAGGTATTCCAGGTGGTTCTGGCAATCAGTGAATATGGGCAGATCCCGTTTTCTATATTTCTATGCTGTGGAAGGCCTGTATCAAGTGAGTGGTGGCAGGTAGGGGGCATTCATGCCCTTATTCCTAACTTCCATTATGTAGAGAGTAACCTGGCAAGAAAGCCATTGAAGAGTAAAACCTCCCTTTCCAACATAGCTCTATATTGCCTTAGAGATTCTGGGGGATTGAGGAGGTGGGAGGGCTCAGCAGATGAATGACAGCTCCCACATGCCCCAGCCTCCTAGGGCCTAACTGGGTAGATTTGGCAGATCTCATCCTCTTCAGATCTGTGCCTCAGAAAGTCCATACTGGGGACATAACTGGGAGTGGCAGCAGCCTGGCATGAAACCACTTTCCAGCACTACTCCTTTCCCCAGCCTCCCACTGCCAACACACAGATCTGGGGTTGGAGGGATTTGGGGTAGCCAGGGCCGCCCCCACTGTATGGGAAACCTGGGCAGTGGGTGAGCTCTGGCTGGGAGCACAGCACAGACATGTTGAGTCCTGTTCCTTCCTTGGGCTTCAGCCAAGGCAGGTGGTGATCTTGCACAACTCAGGACCCTAGTGTGTGACCTCCGGACTAGCACGCACCCCCAAAACTGTGTGTATGCATGTGTGTATATATGTTCATAAATATGTACATGAATAGAAATGCATACACTCTTATGACATAAAATTGTCTTATTTGGAGGTTTTCCTTCATAATTTTTTCTGCCCTGGCCCCACTGCCAACACACACACACACACACACACACACACCCCACCCCCCCATCCATAAAGAGGATCCAGGTGGAATAGTCAATCAAGAGTGACTTCCCCACCCCTTCCCCCAGCTCCTGCTTCAGAGCTTCCATAGTGCAGAGGCTCGGCCCAGGAAGAGGGCAGAGATCTCAAATGCCGGCAACACAAACCCCGGTGTCCAGATAGGGATATTGCTTTTTTAACTCAAACTCTTAGTGCTCTGTAGACAAGAAACCTGGAACCCAGCACCTGCATTACAATTCAGACTCTTCTGATTTTTACTCAGAGCCTCTTTTGTGCCCATAGAGCTAAGCACTTTTGAATAAGAATCGCCTAAGGCTCAACCAGGTAAAATGACTTTCACTTTCACTTTGTCTGTTGTAATCACCCCTATAACCGCAGTCTAGATTAATGCCCGGTATAAAGCAGGCTCTCAACAAATATGTGTCTTATGAATTAATTGCGTTATCCGACGCTGAAATCATAGTGAATTCCAGGTGACACTACATCATTTTCAATTTTATCACTGGATGACCTAAACATTTCTGGCTGGACCAGTGATGCCCAGCCTCGTGAGTCCGCAGAGCTTCTGCGCCAGGTTCTGGAGGAGCCAACGCAGACTCAGAGGCTTCGCTTCCTTCCTGGCTCCGCCCAGCTCCCTCCTGGGGGCGGGGCTACAGCCGGGTTGGTGGAAGGGGCGGAACGGCGGCTGTGCGCGTGCGCGGAACAGAGCCGCGGGGTTAGAGCGCAGCGGCTGGTTTGGCTTAAGCTTTTGAGACAAGATGCAGGTGAGCAAGCCGTGGGGCGAGAGGTTTGGAGGCTGCGTCCGCTCGTTTGTCCCGCTGGGTCCGTGCCAGCGGCAGACTGTCCCGGCCGGACCTGTGGGAAGCGCCGAGCGCCACAGGCACCGGCAGCCACACGAGTCGAGGCCTGGCGCAGACGCAGTGAAGAGGGGCGGGCGTTCGCCTCGCTGTGTGTCCCACCCCTCAAATCTCCGGATCCCACTTGACAAAGTTACTTCCTACTTACTCTCTTAGTGAACACCTGAGCAGGTGTGTTATGGAGCCGTTGCACGGATCAGGAAGCCGATGTTGGAGAAGTGAAGGGTCCCTCCTGGGGCGGGGATCCCATAACACAAAACAGTGGTGGGCCCCGTGTTCCTGACTCCACTTAGAACTGGGGGAGCGTTAGTTACACCCTCTTCCCCTAACTTTTGTGTTCGGGTTGAGGTGTGCCCAGCCTGAGGGTTCAGCCCAGAAAGCTGCTCAGTTACTCTATGTCTTAAAATAGACAAAACCAGATCCTCTGGTTTTGCCCTGTTGTTCTCTGGAATTTGCTAATGGAATAGGATTAAAACCCAAAGAAAAGTGAGAGAAAATGAAGACGCCGTGAAAATGGATGGTTTATGAGCAGAAAACCTGTGTGACAACTAAATTTTGTCACTGCCCAAGGACCCTTTTCCAAAGATCTTTCTACTATCTCCCAGATCTCACTGGTCAGGATTTCTGATTAAATGTCTCTGGCTCATTGGGAGATTGGAGTTAGTGTGGGTTTAGTTGGGGCAGGAGGATTTGGGGGCTGGAGAGAATGGTCATCTGCAAATAGTGTGTCCGCCACAAGCCAGACATTCTTCAGTGGTGAAGAGGAAGCTCCAGGATTGCCCTAGCATCCTTTGTATCCTCTATCCTTCTTGTCCCTGTTTAAAACTGGCATCTAGTCAGAGACCTTCCCTGACCACGCAGTTGAAAGGATTCTGTTCATTTTCCTTTTGATATATCTCAGCAAGACAGCTCTGGGGCTGGAGGCTCATTATCCCAGGGCCCTTTCCACAGTGCTCCTTGGTTTTTTATTTCAAACCAGATCCGTTAACGGTGTTCCTGCCAAGCCATGCAAAAACCAGTGTTTGGGCAGCTGGGTTCTGGAACTAAGAGCCCACTTTGACATTTATTTTCTGACATTTGATCCTGATAAATTTGACTCGTTCCAGCATGACAGTGGCTTCTCAAATGCTATGTCACTCCTAGGCTTGTGAGGATCAACTAAGTAGATACAGATAAGGGGCTTAGAAGAGTTCACAGCTCCTAGTACTCAATAAATGTTAGCCATTGTGATCTGTTCACTGGGGTCTTAGCTCTTCTTTCAGGTGTGGCCATTAGAGAGTCCGTCAGTGAGCATCAGACCCTTCTCCCTCTGATTCTGCTGCAACCACTCAGGACTCTGAGATGCTCCATATCTCTGCTCTTGGGTCTTTTGCGCATCCTGGTCCCTCTGCCTGGAAAGTAATTTCCTAAGTTCTCCTTGTGTAGTTCCTTGTCACCCTCCAGTGATGGTTAAATGTCACCTTTTCTGAGAGAACGTTTCTGCCCATCCTGTGGAAGTCAAGCCCCCTGTAACTCTAGGTTAGCCTGTTGGTCATTGCACTTGCCACAATTTGTTATACGTTTGTATATTTAATTGGTCATGGCTTCCTCTTTAGTAAAATAGATGGCTCTGGCATTCACCAGGCTTTTCTACCATCTAATGCGGTAATTTACCTGTAGTAGGTAGATGTACTAGGTACTTAATAAATATCTGTTGAATGAATCACTCCAAGCCATTAATAAAAATATTGAGCAAGAGCCAGGTCCGAGCCTTCACATTATAACCTGATTTCTACCACGGTACTGGCTCTTTTTTGGGTTGGGGGTGCAGAGTGTGAGACAGGAAGAATGAGACAGGAAGAATGGAACGGGTTTTGGATCTTCTGACACTTTCTCAGAAACAGGACACAGAGCAATTTGTTTTGAATTTTTCTTCCCACCACCTTTTCCTTTGACCCCTTGTCCAGCGTGGCACCTCCTTCCCACTCCCCACCATAGTGGACTTCTCACTCATGGTATCCTTGGTCCCACTTCTCTAGGACCCCAACGCAGACACTGAGTGGAATGACATCTTACGCAAAAAGGGCATCTTGCCGTCAAAGGAAAGTTTGAGCGAGTTGGAACAGCAGGCAGAGGAGGAGGAGCAGCGAGCCCTTCAGCAGTCTGTTGGTGAGCTTGATCGTGTTCTTTTTGTTCTGTGTTTGGATGGGTCAAGCCCTCTAAGCCTCCATCTGCTTTGGTAAAAGAATCTTTTGACCAGGAGTTGGGGGTCCAAGGATTGGAGTGCTGGAATGGACACTCTTTAGGACCTCACGCAAGTCACAGGATGTCTCAACCTTCAGCTTCCTGGGCCATAGAATTAGGGGACTTCACAGGTCCCCTTCGTTGCCACGGTTCCTTGTCGGTGTCAGATGAGCACATGATAATCTTGAAGAAAATACTTTCATTTTGGGTAATGTCATGGAAATGTGCTCAAAGTTCTTAGTGTTTGTATTCTCCTGAGCTTTATTCTCATTGTGGTTTGATTGAGAATACTCAAATAGCTTAATTTAGGGAAGCAAAAGATGTTTTGTATGGGGTCTGAGAGACGGGTTTTCTCAAAGATAGTGATATCACCTGACTCAGAAACCCTTTGGGTGTTTGTAAAAAACCCTGTCCCTACTGAATAAAAATCTCTGTGGGTAAAGCCCAGGAGTCTGCATTTTAAACAAGTGCCTCAGGATTTCTGACTCTCACCAGAGTTTGAGAACCATTGATCACAGGGACTAGTACTTTTGTCCTGTTTACATGTTAGAGCTAATTTAGGGAAGGATTTATTATAAAGCATGTACCCCGAGAGTGTTTATTGAATGATTGCTGTGTGCCTGGTATTTTTCTAGGCAGTGGGGCTTTAGCCATGCACAGACCAGACAAAAATCCCTTTCCTCATGGAACTTATATTGTAGTGAAAGACAGACAATAAACAATACATAAGTGCAAAGTAGGAAAATAAGGCAGGAAGAGGATTTCTAAAGGGTTGGAGGCAGGGTAAGTATAATTTTAGATAGGGTGAGGGAGGACCTCATTGGGTGTGAAATTTGGGTGACCTGAGGTAGGTAAATTGAGCTACTTTAGCAAGTGAAAAGCATGTTGGAGAATCTGCGAGGAAGCTGCTATGATTGGGAGAGAGGAAGAATAAGTTCAGAGAGGTAACTCGGAGTCCAACCATTTAGGACCTTGTAGGTTCTAATAAGGATGTTGCTTTTACATCTAATGAGGTAGAAGTCATTGGTGGTTTGAACAGAGGAGTGACACATCTTCCATGTTGACAGCACCATTCTGTTGCTGCCTTCCTGAGCATGGACTGTGAGGGACAAGGCAGGAAGTAGGGAGACTACTCTGGAAACTACTGCAATAATTCAGACAAGAGGTACTGTTGGCTTGGACCAGTATGGTGGTGGTAGAAGCAGTGAGAAGGGGGTGGATCTGGATATATTTTGATGCAGGGCAAACAGGATTTGCCAGTGGGTCCTATGAGGGGTGTGAGAGAAACAAGTCAAAAATGACTTCAAGGCTTTGGGCTTGAGCCCCCTGAGGGATGGAATTATCCCAACTGAGATGAGGAAGACTTGGAGAGGAACAGGTTTGGAGATCAGGAAATCTGGGACATAGTGACTTTGAGATTTTTACTGGACAAATAGAGATGGTAAGGGGGCCATTGGGTTTGTTTTTCTCCAAATCAGAGAATATGAGTTGGCATAAGTTTGGGATTTGTCAGCGTATTGATTGTATTTAAAGCCATGAGATGCAATCACCAAAGGGGTGTGTATAGATAAAGAAGTCAAACCAGCACAAGGTCAAAAGGAGCGCAGCCTTAGAGGTGAGGGAAGGGGGCTTCCTGATCTGTCACTGAGGATGAGTGGGATCAGAGTTGCTCCTCAGTCAGGAAGTGGAGGTCATCTTTGTCCTTGATAAGAGCAGTTGTGTATAGGGATGGGGCGGGGGTCTGGGACAAAGGCCTGATTTGCTGTTAAAAAGCAAAAGTGTTAGTGGAATAAAGACAATACAGATGTCCCAGCAGTTCCTTAAAAGAGCTGCCTGCCAGGCATGAGAAAATACCAAGAGTCTGTGATAACCCCTTTAACTCTAGGAAGGGTGTGCTTGCTCCTGGACGACACCCACTGGTACCTTCCCACTTCCTGGGAGATAGGGGACCTGTGGTACACCTGTGCTTTAGGGTATGTGCTTGAAGGTCAGATTAGGCGAGTCCGGGCAAATACAACAACTGTTTTATAAACTCGGGAAGCTCTCATTCCTATCCTAGGTATGATGTGGTGGTAAGAGAGTCAAGCCTGCAGATGTCAGTATACTGGTTCTATCTTTTTAAAACACTCTTGACTTCTTTTTACTAGTGTAATACATTAAGGACTTTGTATTCTGGTTTTGGTGGCTGGGAGTCTTTTGGTGTTGTATGCACATCTGTAGGAGAAAAGTGAAACAAAAAAACCCAAATGCATGTTTGTGCATCTTTTAAATTTTTTTGTTTTTGCTAACTTAACTATATGCAGTGAAAACATATGAAGATATGACTTTGGAAGAGCTGGAGGATAATGAAGATGAATTTAATGAGGAAGATGAACGAGCTATTGAAATGTACAGGTTAGTACAATCCAGAGAGATTGTTCGATTTTTTGTGTGGCACCAATATGTGTGTACTTTGAAAAATGACTTTTCTGACTGAGATAACATTTGGAAAGGACCATAATTAAATAATAATAATGCAGATTTCAGCAAACTGTTCCTAGAATTTTGCCATGAGGCAAATAAATAAACCTGGATCTTTACTAAGGTTGCTGTCTGAAAGGTGTGTGTGTGGGCAGGGTGGTGTGGGGCGAGAGATGACTCTTCTCCTGTTGTGTAGGCAGCAGAGACTGGCTGAGTGGAAAGCAACTACACTGAAGAATAAATTTGGAGACGTTTTAGAGATCTCAGGAAAGGATTATGTTCAAGAAGTTACCAAAGCTGGAGAGGGCTTGTGGGTCATCTTGCACCTTTACAAACAAGGGTGAGCGATCTCATACTGTCTTTAAATGTTCATTTGAATTTATCTTGAGCATTTTGGGCTTAATCCACATCAGAAGGTGTTTTATGTGTTTTTGTTGCTGATTTGCCCAAACCATAATGCCCCATTTTTGTCTTAGAACTTTCAAACTAATATTTGTGACTAATGCAGTTAGCAGTGAAGACTTTGCTTTTATTGAAAAGAAAACACTAAGTTATTTATCCCTCTAGAGAAACTCTGGCTTTTTAAAATTCTTTGTAATGAGTCACTGTCCTAGGTGGCGAGGGTGACCTTTGTAATAATTGTCCCTGGCAAGTGGTGCAGTGGTCTTCCAGCATTTCTCTCCTTCAGTCCTGTTCCTGGACTGTAGAGTCTGGTGCTTGTGTGGGAGTTTCTGTAGAGGAGGCCATGCTTTCTGACCTGTGTTTCACATTCTAAGTCTTGACTGTTCTCTCACGTAGAAGGGCATGACAGTTACCTTTTACATTGAAGCTGTTTTTCTGACTTATTTTTGGGTCAAATTAAATTGGACTTTGGATTTTGAGTTCTTTACTTTTTCTGAACATATTGGAAGGTTTTTAAAAAATGTTAATTCATCTCGGCTGGAGTAGCAGAATCACTTGTAAGGTTTTACTTAGGGTAGAAGGGTAATTGAGCTTTGTTCTGTGTAAATGCAGAATCATAATTGTTTCTATTTCTGTTTTATAGGATTCCCCTCTGTGCCCTGTTAAATCAGCACTTCAGTACGCTTGCCAGGAAGTTTCCCGATGTCAAATTTATCAAAGCCATTTCAACAACCTGCATACCCAATTATCCTGATAAGAATCTGCCCACAATATTTGTTTACCTTGAAGGCGATATCAAGGCTCAATTTATTGGACCTCTGGTGTTTGGTGGCATGAACCTGACAGTAAATGGTAAGGGCCTCTTTGAGATGGTCCAGGGCACATGAGAGATGGCTAGTGCGTGGTAGAGATGCCTGTTTCCTAGACATGTGTCATGGTGGTAATGGTGATTTGTCAAGTTCACCTTTGCCTTTGTCTAATTATTAAAAGGGAAGAAGCACATTTAATTTCTCATTTTGGACCGACCAGTCAATGGGGGGCATTTACAACTGGGCTCTAATAATTCTCAGTGGAAAGAGAACACAATGGACTTTAAAATATATTTATTTAATATTAATGTCTAATATGTTTTATTTGTCCCTACAGTAGAATATAAGTAGCTCAGGATCATATCATTCATTTATATTAGTGATATCATTCATATTAGTGTTAGATGCTTATATGTATCTATATGTATATACATAAATCGTTTCTATAGCTGTATTTTTCAATTGAATATCTTAGTAGCTTTTAAATTAAAAGTTTATTTAATTCTGTATCTTAACTCCTGAAAGATGTGTCCTTTTATTCCTTTCCACTTGTTACACATGGAGGTGTCAAAATATATATTCACGGTCTACGGCCGTGCCACCCTAAACAGGCCCGATCTTGTCTGATCTCAGAAGCTAAGGAGAGTCGGGCCTGGTTAGTACTTGGGTGGAAGATCATCTAGTAAGACCTGGTGCTGTAGTCATT